AATTAATATGAAATAGTGTACTAACCAATAAAATTAGTGTGAAACAGTGAACTAACCAATAAAATTGATGTGAAACAGTGTACTAACCAATAAAATTAATGTGAAACAGTGAACTAACCAATAAAATTAGTGTGAAACAGTGTACTAACCAATAAAATTAATGTGAAACAGTGTACTAACCAATAAAATTAATGTAAAACAGTGTACTAACCAATAAAATTGATGTGAAACAGTGTGCTAACCAATAAGTTAAATTATCTTCTAGTTCTTACTTTGTCCTCAGATGGACCAGCGACAAGTTTACAGACTTACAAAACTAAAATCCGGGATTCGACTCTTTATCTTTTGCGCACTTTATCTCCAACTAGCAACTTCATTCTGGAAGATTTATCTGTTCATAATGAATTAATTCAAATTAGGGGGGACTGAGCCCCTATTCAAATGCCTGTGAAACGGAATTAAGCATTACTTTATCTTCGTTGTTTTTCTAGTAACTGTTATAATGTAATTTACTTGTCTCCCGATCGTAGGGCGGTAAGTCTACAGTTTTACAACGCTAAAATCGGGGATTCGATTCCCCTTGGTTGACACAGCAGATAGTTCGATGTAGCTTTGCTATAAAAACACACACATATCTCTTACTTAATCGCATTACAGTAAAAACTGCACATGTTCTTCGAAAAGTTATCATAAAATAACTTAATTTCTTAAATTCACAATAATGTTGTTAAGCTTTGAATGTAATTCTTTGCTCAGAGTTCATAAATACTTGACCAAGAACTTTTTTTTGAGTTTTTATAAAGGTTTCAAAATAAATTGGTTACGATATTTTTCTTTTACGATCAGGTCAGAACATGAGTACTCGTTCACTGATTCTAGTAATGAAACCTGATCCCAGAAAATAAAGGTAAAGAAACTCAAAACATAAATATTACTCATATTTGTTCCCGGATAGCATTTTAAAAAAGAGCCCACCAGTGGCACAGCGATATGTCTTCGGACTTGCAACATTAGAAACCGGGTTTCGATACTCGTGGTGAGAATAACACACATAGTTCATTGTGTAGCTTTGTGCTTAATTACAAACAAAGAATTCGCTAAAAGAGCAACAAAAACGCATAAGAAATATCAAATTTAGAATATACATACCAAAATAAGAGGGACAGAATGTGCAAAAGTGCGATGATTTTTGTTAAGTATTAGTTCAGGTGGTTAGGGCGTTTAACTCACAATCTGAGAGTCGCGGGTTCGAATCCCCATTCAACCAAAAATGCCCGCTCTTTCAGCCGTGGGAGCGTTATAATGTGACGGTCAATCCCACTATTCGTTGGTGAAAGAGTAGCCCAAAAGTTGGCGGTGGGTGATGATGATTAGCTGCTTTCCTTCTAGTCTTTCACCGCTAAATTAGGGACGGCTAGCGCAGATAGACCTCGTGTAGCTAGGCGCGAAATTCAAAATAAACAAATATTAGTTTTCAGAATTTATGAATATTCTATGTTTGTACTTATGAAATTATTAAACAAAGTGTTTACAATGTATTTTTTTTTCTATTCAACCGTAATCATAGACTGTACGTATAAACTTTTAAACAATAATATACGTAGATAATGATTCTGGAAAGAAACTGAATGTTTCTAGATTACAGCTAAAACAATTCAAACAAACAAGTAAAAAGCGCCAGTAGTAAATACAAATTCATCAGCCCATATACGTACTTACTAAATACAAATTTATCAGCCCATATACGTACTTACTAAATACAAATTCATCAGCCCATATACGTACTTACTACATACAAATTCATCAGCCCATATACTTACTTACTAAATAAATTTATCAGCCCATATACGTTCTTACTAAATACAGATTCATCACCTCATATACGTACTTACTAAATAAAATTTATCAGCCCATATACGTATTTACTAAATACAAATTCATTGAAATTTATATCCGCTTACTAAGCGTAACTAAACTTGCATTTATACCTATTTACTAAAGACGACTTCTACTGTTGATTGGAACTACTTACTAAATTCATCGTTTTAGTATAAATTTACTGAAGAATTACTTCATTTATTCACTTTTAATACTACTTACTGAACCTAACGATGACAACTACTAAATCCTCTATATAATTCATTATAAATTTCCTTACTAAATCTACTGATATTGTATACTTTCTTATCTACTTACTAAATCCACCATCTAGTGGCACATGGAATGTCCGAACTTGCGGTAGCGCCCTCTTCTGGTATACATTTTGGAGAGCGCTGTTATTATCCAGGAGATAAACTGAAATTAAAAATTCTCGAAATTGCAAATAACCTAAACATTTAAAAAAACAAACTAGAAATATAAACTTGACCTCGTTTCCAAGTTATAAAATTAAAAATAAATACCCACCTCCTTAAAAATAAGTTACACACATATTAATAGCATTCAAAAGATCGATAACTTTCAAACATTAATTGTGACTGTATAAATGCATGAGTACCCCGATTTATGGGCTTACAACGCTAAAATCCGGGTTTAGATTCTCCGTGGTGGATAGAGCGTAGATAGCATAGTGTGTAGCTTTTCGCTTCGTTTCGTTTCTTTCGAATATTCGGGCAAAGCTACATAAGGTCTATCTGTGCTATCCGTCTCTAAGTTTGTACAGATAGATTACAGGGAAAGCAGCTAGTCAATAGCACCCGCCGCCAACTCTTAGGCTACTGTGTAATAGAGTAGTGTGATTTGACTGTCACTTCAATAACGCACCTATCAAAATATAGAGTGCGATATTGCGACAACAGAACACGAACCATGGACCCATCGGTGCTACAGTCCAGAACGGCAACTACTAGGCCACTTTCGACCTATTTGTGTTTATAAAGTAGATACAAATGTTAGTGAAAGCCGTATTTAAGAAGTAGATATACTCATACAGGTACCAGTAAAAGTCGCGTTTAGAAAGTAAATATAAATACCAGTAAAAGTCTTGGTAGATGGAAATGCCATTGAAAGTCGTGTCTAAAAAGTAGATGCAAATGTCAGTGAATGTCGTGTTTAAAAAGTGGATGCAAATGTCAGTGAAAATTGCGTTTATAAATTAAATATAGGTACCAGTGAAAATCACTTTTAGAAAGTACATATAAATTAAAAGTCGTCTTCATAAAGTAGATACAAATGCCAGTAAAAGTCGTATTTATAAAGTAGATATAGGTACTAGTAAAAGTCGCGTTTAGCAAGTAGATATAAATGGCAGGGAAAGTCGTGTTTAGAAAGTAGGTGTAAATGCCAGTGAATATTGTCTTTAGAAAGTAGATATAAAGGCCAGTGACAGTTGTGTTTATAAAGTATGTTTAAATGCTAGTGAACGTCTTATTTAGAAATTAGATACAATTACCAGTGACAGTCGTGTTTAGAAAATAGATGTAAATGTTAGTGAAAGTCAATATTAATGTTAGTGGAAAACATATTTAACAAACTGGTTTAAACACCAGTTCATATGTACACAGGTAGGTGTGTTTAGTAAATAAAAACTCTAACTTTACTTCTTAGAAACTATTTGTACGGTTCAAAGTGAATAATTTGTGAACATTTCTTTGAGTAACTAATTGCAAGAGTTTTGATAGTAGAAAATTGTTCTAAATTAGGAAATCTCTTTAAAAGATTCTCTAAACGTCAACTAGAAAATGTAAATAATTTTGAATGATAGGCCTAATCTAATTTGCCCACTGCTGTCTTGTTTTAGAAGCAAACGTTCGCCTTCTTTTACCTCCCGGTTTACGAGATGACGAGGTCACACAGTATCCAATGGTAGTGTATGTGTAAGTTTACGTTTTTTTTCTTCTTTAATTATTCTACATAGAGTTTGGTTGTTTGTAATTAAGCACAAAGCTACACAATGGGCTATATCTGCTCTGCCCACCACGGGTATCGAAACCCGGATTCTAGCGTTGTAAGTCCGCAGACATACCGCTGTGCCACTGGGGGGGGGGGGGCTCTACATAAAGCGATCTACGACTTTTGCAACACATAGATTTGCTATTAAAGTAGATTTTTTTTCTGCATCATATTACTGGTAAATTGAAATGTGGTATTCATTAGAGAGCCGGCTAATGTTTCTCCACTGGTGTGGATATAATTAGAATGGTTTACTCAGAAAACAAAAATATTTCTCTTCTGAGTTAAATAAATTTATTTACAATTATTATAAAAATGACAGTCATTAAGCACTTATCAACATGTACTATACATCAAAAGTTTCGTTTTAAAACAATATTATGGAATTATTTTATTCATATTAAACCATTCTAAGTCTAACATACCATCGCAATTTTCATCGTAATAAGTTCCTGAGACTACCCATGAAATCGGTCTTAGGTCACACATTCTCCACTATATATGAAAAATTTAAACAGATCAAAACACACATATTCATTATAGATAAAATCATAAATAATATTCAACGTTAAACTGGTACACAAGTAAAAACATTTTATTTATTTATTTAATTGTGCACCAGTTTAACGTTGAATATTAGTTATGATTTTAACTTTATACACAAATGCCAAAATACTATAATCATTATAGATGTATCAGAGGAACTGACAGATATATGAATGGTATGGGACTGTTACGATTCCAATTTCTTTGGTCATCTTTCTCGCGAAAACAGCCATTAATTTCGTGGTGTTGTTGGGGGCTTCTGAGCTTTGTTAACTTTAAATTTTTATTTATTATCATTTAATCGACACCAGGATACATGCTCAACTTCAACACAAGGATTTTTTAGTCGGAAGGTCCTTTTTCGTAACCGTAGTATTCATTGTGCTGGTGAAGATGTGCTTCCGAATTTTCAGGGCGTGGTTTTTTGAATCTGTAGTTATCCTAAACGTGTTTCTGTTCGAGTTATCCTTCTTCCATGGAAAATAATGAAGGTTCTTCGAAATCTTGTGTTCTTTGGCATCGTTTGAAATCTCGCTAAATATCACTTCTAATTGTCCTTTTATTGTTTCATCACATACCAAAAAAAGTGTTGTGTAGTTCGACATGATGATACTGAAATATCGAATAAAAACCTCCATAAATTATTTAAAATTAAATTTGAATATCAATTTTAATATCTGAAATTATATTTTTTATATATATTCCTTACAAATTTATCACACTGAAAAGGGTTACTATACATAATGCCAAAGTGCGTTATATATTTCCATCAAATAAAGGCCTTACGTTGAAACTTATTTCTATTATAACGATTTTCTGGTTTATTTTATTTGTAGCTTCGTACCAAACAATATATAATGCGCAAAATATATTTTATGGTAAACATTATGATAATAATACTTTTATTGACTGAATATTGAACTCTTGAGATGGATTTTATGTCTTATAACACCTGGGTTTGTCCATAACTGTGTGTACAGGGAAATTCAAAAGTTTTTGCATCGACGCTTCACACACACTTAAGCTTTCATATATTGTTTTAATCAATACTTATAACGCTTTTGTATGACACATATTTTTGTATCTTTTGTAAAAGATTTTTACAAGTAGACATACAAAAAAGTTTAATGTGAATCTACCTCACGAATCACAGAAAATCGTATTTAGTTACACCAAATATATAACTCCAGTTTGTTTACATTCGTGTTTTTACACTACCTGTTTTTTGAACATTACTTCCGCGTTTTTCCATTCCGTCGTTCAGTTCCATGTTGACTCAATGCACAATTAAGATGTATAACATTTTGCTTATACAAATTTAAGTATCACTTCTACATTTTCAGCTAACCTCAATCTTTACCCACCCGTTAATTTCATCTGATACATTTTTACTATTTTTATTGAATCGAAATAAATTTGACTTTACAAAAAAGTCGAAGTCTCATGATGATGATGATGATGTGCTTAAAGGCGAATTTCGATGTTGAATGTTTAATCTTTTTACACTAACATTCTGTTATCAAATTTAACTGCTTTTGATTTGTCTCTTAAATTCAGTAGTTTTTCTTCGGATGTATCATATTTTGTTTTTTAGTTTTTCAAGTTGTTGTCGTTCACAGCTAGAGAATCCCATTTTTTGTTTAATATTTTTATTTTCGATCAAGTCAATAGGATTAGTAAGGGATCAGAGCTTGCGTCTGCTATTGCTAATTTCTTTTGGACTTACTGAGAAAACAGCTGAATAAATATCTTCTTACTTTTAAAACGTCACTATCGTAGATGCTATGTTTATAATACCATTTGTTAGTCGAAGAAAAAATGATAGAATTTTAGGAAAGTTTAAACAGCAAACATCCAAACATTAAACTTACATTGAATATTGAACAGCAAAAATCCAAACATGAAATTTACATTGAATATTGAACATTAATATAAATTACTATTTTTTTTTAGTTTATAAGTTTCTTATTTCCAGAAATAAATTATCCGCTGTTGTTTACAAATGTACGTGTCCTTCGTGCACGAAAGATTATGTAGATCCACAACCATGTGTTTGTCTTTGTTTACCTGGATGAAAGGATGTCTCCAATAAAACCTGAGTCTGCGCAGTAATTAAGGATTAGTGAGAATTTGATAACTGCTGATTTGCAGCTGGCTTTGAACTAGCAGATTTCAGCTTTTCCGTTCCTCCTCAAATTGGCATTTGAATAACAGTCTTAACACACAGTGTTTAAATATAGCGATGATGTCATATGTCATTAATTGGTTGCTAAATTATTGTCTGTCTTACAGCATAATACACGTTTATACTGTATGAAACCATACCACCAAATCAGAATACTTATAAAAATTATCCAATTCTTAATTTCTAGTTAACTAAATCAATTAAACACCTACAGTGTTAAGTTTTAATAACACTTCCTTTCATATTGCCGTGATGTTTCTATCATATAACACATATGGTATTTGAAGACTTCCTTAAGATTTACGGGTTACACATGCCCGATAACTTATGATAATATTTGTGGTCAGTCATTATGAAAACAACCGAAATACAGCAATAGTTGTTCATTAGTAAGAAATTATTACGTAAGACTGCCAACAACCAATTATTACACAACATGCATTAATTATCGAACACAAGTAGCAGTTTTCTGTTTATTTCATATATTTGGTTGGAAATAATTCTTTCACCTTCAACATTTCTTAGTTTATATTCAGTATTCTCTAAGCACGGCGTCTTGCACTCGTTAAAGAGACTCTAGACCACATCTCCAGACCAATCACGTGTGCCTTGCATGTGGGAATATGTTTGATCTAATTAACCACGTGGTTGAACACCTTTAAATAAATACAAAACTTCCGACGTTGCGTTGGACTGTAGTAATTATACAAAACTAACATACAGTTTACTTTCGAAAAAGTGGAAACTTGAAGAATTAGTGCAACAAACATTTATTTGTTTCACTCAAAATCATTTTCCCGTGAGTATTTAAATCATTCACTCACCAGAAACTATTCATATGGAAATAACTATAAACTACAAGAAGTACATTTGCACTACTTTTGATTAACTAATTTATTAGCCCTCCAGTGGCACAGTGGTATGTCTGCGGACTTACAACGCTAGAATTTGGGTAGTCTATATCGAATATCCTTCCGCAATGGAGCTCTTACAGGAGTCGTACACATACAAGGATCGTACTTAATTCCAGTCAAAGATTTATTATTATTATCTATTTCTGCTATAGCAGGATTGTGGAATAAGAACAATACATCTTAATAAACCTAGTGATCTTTGAGGTACTGCTGTTCCTAATTGCTTTCATTCATTTTTTTTTTCTCTGCTAACACTATTATTTATTAACGATGATACTTTGCCTGCTAATACACAAACATTTTCTCTGCTAACATATAGAATATTATCTTTCTGCGACTAACACAGTTAGGGTTCATCTGGTAGTATGATATATGTAAAAGCCAGTTGTCTTTTGGTAACGCTTTTTTGTCTCTTTCGCTTAGAGTCGAGCTTAAAAACACAGAAAATTACCTTAACTGTATAGGACATATTATCTTACAGGGGCAAAAACTACCTTAACTGTATCGGTCACATCAGCTTACAGGGGAAAAACTTAATTTAATTGTGTAAGACACAACAACTTATAGGTGCAAAAAGCGACTTAACTGTATAGGTCGCATCAGCTTACAGGGACAAAAAAACTTTTAGCTATATAGGTTACATCATGTTACAAGGACAAAAAACGACTCGCTACATAGGTCACATCAGCTTTGTAAATCTTTGAAATCTTCCACTTACTACTACAGAGTCACTTGAATAAGACAACTTCATGAAATAGTATACTCTGTTATACTTCATCAAGTTCTGTTGGGACATTATGTGAGAAGGTTTGGCTGATAAGATTATATTAGTGAGGCCTTGTTGTTTATTATTACCCCGGATAACCGGTCTAATGTATATATATATAAGCCAGTTGTCAGTTATTATATTATGAATCACTTTTAATTTAAATTGTACAATTCTTATTGATTTTTCGAGAGTGTGCTTGAAAATTATTTTTGTTTTCCCAATGTGTGATTGTTGAGGTTCGAAAACTCCAATATTTTTTTAATGTGTCGGGTTTTTAAAATAGCATATAATAATATTCAGTTAACACACGCATTTCTCCTGCTAGTACACCAGGATTTTCACTGTTAACCTGTAGAACGTTTTTCCTTATCTGGTATATAAATTATTTCTATGCTAGCATATAGAATCTTACATAGTACAGTGGCCTTTCTCCTGCTAAGTGCACCAGGATTTTCACTGTTAACCTGTAGAACGTTCTTTCTTCTGCTGGTATATAAATTATTTCTATGCTAGCATATAGAATCTTACATAGTACAGTGGCCTTTCTCCTGCTAAGTGCACCAGGATTTTCACTGTTAACCTGTAGAACGTTCTTTCTTCTGCTGGTATATAAATTATTTCTATGCTAGCATATAGAATCTTACATAGTACAGTGGCCTTTCTCCTGTTAAGTGCACCAGGATTTTTCCGCTATTCTTCCGAACGTTAGCAGTCACCTTTCTTTTCTAATACACCAAACTTTTCTCTGCTGGCATATATAATATTACTCAGAAACAGTGACCTTTCTCATGCTGATACACAAAGCTTTTCTCTGCTTACATATATAATATTACTCACAAACAGTGACCTTTCTCATGGTAATACACAAAGTTTTTCTCTGCTTACATATATAATATTACTCAGAAACAGTGACCTTTCTCATGCTAATACACAAAGCTTTTCTCTGCTTACATATATAATATTACTCAGAAACAGTGACCTTTCTCATGCTAATACACAAAGCTTTTCTCTGCTTACATATAAAATATTACTCAGAAACAGTGACCTTTCTCCTGCTAATACACCAACATTTTGCCGCGAATGTTAAATACCGCAGTCAACATGCACATATCTTTTCACACTTATATATATTTCTGTTTGGTATTCTACCCACTTTAGTTTTTCATACCGACATTCTATATTTTACTTTTCACCTGCTAATATACTCATTTTTTACCCGTGAAGCGACGGTGGACCAGGTCATCAGCTCGTTACCGAAAGGTTTGAGGTCCACTGGGGTACGTATCTGGCCAGTCGGAAGAACTTCATCTACGCCACGATTGATGGACGAGGTAGCGGTAACCGAGGTGACCAAATATTACATCAAATATACAAAAAACTGGGCAGTGTTGAAATAGAAGACCAGATAACTGTCTCCAGGTTAGTCCTTAATTGATTTGAATAGTGGCACTGTCTTTGTGTCCTATTGAGAATTATTTTTTACCAATTCAGTCTTTGAATCAGTGATTAGTTGCAAGTTATTATGCACACAAAGTCGGCATTCCTAATTTCGTTTTCATCTTATCAAAAAAAGTATTATAAGTTTATTAATACTTATACGTAATGTTTCAGTTTTGAATAGAATATGATACCTGGGCGAGTAATTTGGTAAATTTCTATCAGCAGTTTAAGTCTGTACAGATTTTAGTTTACAGATTAGTAAATACTTTGTTTAATATATAAGTATTTGGATTCCACTCGAATTAATTCGTGAGTTAGAAAACCCTTTATTTTTATCTCACTAGTCCAATCTGCAGATATTAGCTTCTGTTTTGTGTTTCGGACAAGTAAGTGCTTTAATTCCGTTATGAGTACTTAAAATCTCCTCACATTGATTTGTGACTTAGTAATCCCTTTAATTTTCTAACAGCATAATCCAAATTTGCACAGATTATGTCTTTTTTATACGGATATGTAAGTACTTTGATTTCGTTGTGAGTATTTGAAATCTACTCAGACTGATTTTTGAGATAGTAAGTCTCTCAATAGTCAAAGTCTACTCTGCTTATAATTTTCTGGTTCCCATAGTGTTCTACAGCAGTGGAAATAATTATGGAAAAACACAAGCCATACGCATACAAAAGTCACAAATATTGATTAATAGCAAATAGATGTTGAAATATTAATGGTAACAAACATTATTACCAAAAAATACTAAAGAAAATGGGCATAAATTGTACAATACATTGGTATTCGGTACGTGAGCCTTTGGTTTACACAGGGTATTACGCCTCGTTTTAATGCTGCCAGAGAGCTGATCACCTTACAATTGTGAAACATTGTTTCAAATGTCCTGTGTTACTACCAACAAATCAGCTAAGTTGTTTGGTCTCCTTTTAACCTAAGTATTTACATAAGGCCATACATCCTCAAGAATATTAATATCGGAACTTTGAGCAAGCCAAACCCTGGTTGTGGGTGTTCCATTGGCCTCTTTATGATCAACATAATGTTGCACCACATTTGGTGTATGCTTCTAACCATTGTCTCGCTGGAAAATGAATAGCCATCCGATAAGTTGTGTTCGTGAGAAAATGGTTTGATAAATCAAAATCTGCATGTACTTGTCAGCAGTCAGGGTGCCATCAAACTTGTGATAATCTTCCACCATTCTTCACTAGAAAACTATGAAATAAATAAGTTTATTTCCCCGAAACGGGGCCGAAGGCCGCCTAGAGGGACCATCTGTTTTAACCATTCGCGCTACGATACAGTAGTGTCTTGTCTGTCAATCAGTCAGTAGACACTAAAATGATGTCACAGAAAGGAAGCTTAACGTTGCAATTTGTACTGCCGTGACGTCAGTAAAACGTGTACATGCCATGAATTACGAGAAGAATTATGCCTTTTGTAGTCTACAGCACAGCATGACATATGAACTTCAAAAGCAAGAAATAACAATATTTGTTACTCTTAATATTGAAACCGAACACTTTCAGCACCCTACGGAAATACATCTAGTATATTTGTTGTTACTGAAAAAGAGACGAACAAAAATACAGTTAAATATTCAACAGAATTTGTAGAGAAAATTAAAAAGTTAATTTAGAAAAGGAGGATCATTTGAGTTCTTTTAAGTGGAAGCCGTTAGCCCCTTTAATAAACTTTTAATTGTGTAAATGTTGTTTTTTAATTATTTCTTTGCTTTTAACCATTATAGAAGTGCCAACCATTCGTACTTACTTCTATTGTTAACAGAAGCAGTTTCATGTACCCTTTTCAGAGCTTTGTATACCGATCCCAATGAAACGTGTAACGTTGCCGCGATTTTTCGAATGCATAGAGTATTCTTGCCCAACCACATCTTCCGTTTCTACACGCTTTAGACAATTTTCCCTCAAAGCTAACACTAAAACATGACAATTTCTCACGAATTAAGTTTGTATTTTTTTTCATAATGAAATAATTTCATCTCATTTGGATAATATTATATATATATATATATATATATATATCACTTTTGACTAATTTCTAAATTGAGAGCATTTTTGTGTTGTAAAAGTAACTAAAACAATATTAAACAAAAAACAATTCAGTTAATAGTCTCCTACGCCATATGTTTAGCTTTGAAAATAAGTGAAAATGAGGATTGCTCAAATGACAGCCACTAAACATGAATTGAAGTGTGAAATGTGAACATTTATTGTGTGTTGCTAAAATGACAACCACTAAACATGAATTGAAGTGTGAAATGTGAACATTTATTGTGTGTTGCTAAAATGACAACCATTAATCATGAATAGAAGTGTAAAATGTGAACATTTATTGTGTGTTGCTCAAATTACAACCATTAATCATGAATAGAAGTGTAAAATGTGAACAGTTATTGTGTGTTGCTCAAATTACAAACATTAATCATGAATAGAAGTGTAAAATGTGAACATTTGTTGTTTTGGTTGTCATTTGAGCAATACACAATAAATGTTCACATTATACACTTCTATTCATGATTAGTGGCTATCATTTGAGCAACCACATTTTACACTTCTATTCATGATTAGTATTTGTCATTTGAGCAAAAAACAATAAATGTACACATTTTACACTTCTATTCATGATTAGAAATTGAATACTACTTGATTAACGGAAACGTACAATAAATGTTCTCTACCGTAATAACGCCAACAGGTAACGGGGGCAACGGATATGCCACACTTGAAAACGTCGGTGTCTGTGGCTAAAGCCATTGCTGCTGCATAGCCACCATAGGACCAGCCCCAGATAGCGATTTTTTCAGGGTCAATAAACGGCAGGTCGTTCTTTAGGTATCTGAAGAGAAAACAAATAATTGTTAAAAAACGTTTAAATAGTTAAATTTGATTAAATATAATATAATTTATTTGAAATATTACACATTTGTATAAACGTGCTTAGATTGATGACGCTATGGATGTTGCTGCATAATGTTGATTCATTCCTCTATACGTACGCAGATTTGTTTCTTACTAGATATCACTTCCACTCTTAAGATGCAATGCCATATAGATACTGACGTCATAGTCCAATCATATTTCAGGATTATAAATTTGCAAGCTTGTACAAGTATTGTTTTTAGTTAGGTTTTAAGTTTTTTTTGCATTTATCAACTTAACTTCCTCTTAAAAAACTCTTTAATCATTGTCCTTTCGGGCTATATATGTTCAATACTGCAGTGAAAAAAGCTAATTCAATAAGGAGTTTTTATATCCTTTTCAAAGTGTTTGTAGAGCACATCAAAACTGGCTGGACACAGACGAGATGTAACCTAAAAATACAAATATATCATTTCTATGCTGTTTTGGTAGTTCGAATTTAATGGGTAATTCATGTTATTCCAACAGCTGTTCTTGTCCTTCCTCAACGTTTCTTGCAGTAAAGCTTATAATAATCGATAGTTTTCAATCTGTTTTCATTATTTTGTTTTACACTAAGGAAATTTATTTCGCGTAAATGATTTACGACTGCCCATAAATGAATGTTGTGATAATCGATTTTTGTCAGTGTTACTAACTAATTTAATTTTAATACTTTGATCAATGTATTTAACGGGTAACGCTAATAATTTATCAGTTGTAAAATAATATAAACTCATTATATATCTAATATATTTAGAGACTGTCTTGAAAATATAATTATTAATTAACCTTTAAACTTCTCTATGTTTAAAACTTTTATATTACATTTTTGTTTATTTGACTTACTTAAAGGATTTATTGCGCTTATATTTTAGTTCATACCAAAGGTTTGGTATATTTTATTATTCTCACGACTTAACATGTTGATTCGTCTTCATCTTCGTAACAATAAAAAGGCATGAAATGACTACTTTGCCTGAATTATCATGAACATATTTGCTAGTTACCCGTAACTAGGATTCGTTTGTTTGTAGTTAAGTACAAAACTACCCAACGGACTATCTTTGGTGCTCCTCCCACAACAATTCGAGTTCCCTTTCCTGCCCTGTAAATGTTCACTAGAGTCTCCAGCAATGAATCATAAACATCAAATTCAAGTGTTTTTTTTTTATTTCAGAAAATCTCTTACAATTGCTTTGTTAAAATAACAATGCCAAAAACGTTTGCTTTTAATATTCCTTCGTACTGATTGTTTAAACTTCGATGGGGAAAATTATGGCAAATCTTTTGTTTCGTATCTGCAAGAGCATTTTCAGCCATGACAAATATTTAAAATTAAATTTAGCTTTCAACTTCTTAATACATAGAGTCTCTTATTTCATTCTAAGTTCTCCAATTTTTGCAGAATACACTATACTAATTTATTTCACATTTGCTGTTTCCTCACATTTACTCTCCAGGTGTTGGTAGATGCTTGAAGAACTAAATCCTATTTTATTTGGAGACCCAAATAATCTCTTTGACAACGAGAACGGACCAACCGATAGACCAAAAATGAACGTTGTAACTTAGTTATTCGATATTTCACTAGTGAATTTTAACTTTAGTGAATTTAATTATCAATTTGGTACTTCACTGGAAGCTTCTTAAATGTCCTGTTATGATGTATGTTTGGAGATAGGATGTTTTATGATGTATTCGGTGGAATTTCATTTTCAAATTATTTAGTTTGTGATGCCTGTATTCACTTACTTAAATATTTAGTTTTATGGCATTTAATAATTAGTGAAGTGTGGTTAATGTCTTTTTATGAAACCATGTATTTACATAATTAGTTTTATGGTGTTTAATAGTGTAATACGGTTACTGTTTTCATTAATCTTGCTATAAAAATCATTCCTTAAAATTAAAAACTGGCCCGGCATGGCCAGGTGGTTAGGGTGCTCGACTCGCAATCTGAGGGTCGCGGGTTCGAATCCCCGTCACACCAAACATGCTCGCCCTCTCAGCTGTGGGGGCGTTACAAAACCCAGCTGAATGTTTTAGCGAGACAAATGTTTTTTGTTATCATACCGCCACACCAAGAATCATCATGTCAGAAAAAGTATCAGCTTTTTACTCTTATGTTTACAAGTCTTTAAAACTATGTTCTAATTCAGCAGATTTGAAAAATGAACTGTTACGTATTAAACATGTAGTATTAGATAGAGGTTTCTCGTCTCATATTGTTGATAGGGGCGTGAGGAAATTTAACAAACTAAATGTTGAACAAAAAAGTAAAACTAAAATCAACATTTAATATAATACATCAAAATGAAATGCTGTTTTTACCATATATCCCAGGTTTATTGTATCAAATTTTTCATAAATTCAAAACACAAAACAAAAATCATATTTCCATTTACAGGCCATAAAATTAGTCAAATATTAAATAAAACTAAAACTAAAGATGAAATAAATCTATTGAAGAAGACAGGTATATATAAAGTTCAATGTGAATGCGCTCTTGAATACATTGATTAAACTAGAAGAAACTTAAAATTTAGAATAAATGAACATAAGAGAAATGCATTAGCTGAACATGCAAATTATACCAGACATATCATCCAGTGGAAAAAAAACGGTTATTTTGGCTCAACCAAACAATATGGCTGCTAGAAATATTAGAGAAACCACTGAAATAATGAAACACAACAAAAAACAACTTGATACTAAATAAGGATGAAATATCCATCACTAACCAAGCCACCTAGACTAACTTACTAAAAATCAAAGATGCAACCACTTCAACAAATATTATCACTTTTGCCACCCAGTATACGCAGTCCAAGCCACACGCAAACTCAACCACATCCACTGCAAACCTTCAGCGAACAACCTTCCAGTAACTTTTCTCAACGACTCGCCCCCCAGTGGCACAGCGGTATATCTGCGGACTTACAACGCTACAAACTGGGTTTCGATACCCGTGGTGGGCAGAGCACAGATAGCCCTTGTGTAGCTTTGTGCATAATTAAAAACAAACAAACAAACTAAACGACTCCACCCCCACACTCCTAATCCCATCGATCCTACACTACATGAAAACGTTTATCACTTTGATTCAACCTATTTATTATCCTGTCCAGCAACTGTCCTGTCTATTTCATACGAGTATAATATACATTATCATTGTAATGGGGAAAAGTAAATGGTATGTTTAACTGGATGTACAAGCAGTGAATAAATAAACAACTTTCACATGTTTTACATACAATGGTATGTTTAACTGGATGTACAATAATGAATAATTATACAGTTTTTATATGTTTTACATACAAACTCAGTTCATTTATTCATCATGACTTTTAGAGTTAAACAACAACATGAGCTGCTCCACACACATTACCTAAAGCAACACGTAAACACATCAAAGAAAAAACTGCTGGAACTGAAAATTATTTCACCACATTTATTTATAAGTATTCTTTCAATGCATCAAAAGGTAATATTCCCATGGTGAACATAGAAAACAGAAACTTTTTCAACACAGGTCATGAAAAACTTGGCAGCCGAGAAAACGCCAATTAAACAGAAAATAAATTTACTAATACAGAAAGGAAGGTTTCTGCCATTACTTGGAGCTCCTATACTTTCATTACTTGGTGGCTTGGCAGGATGTGCTATTGAAAAACCTGCTGGAATTTAAACACATAGAACACACAAAATGAAGGATTCTTGTTCCTGAAGAACAACCTAAGGATTATGAAAGACCAGTGCATGAAATATTCAATTCTATATATCACAGAATCCATTCGGTTATACAAAATGAAACTTTACTCATTAGAGTCAAAATGGGATCGTCAGCTCATAAATAATTAGATATCGTCGACAGCGTCCCTCATAAATGTAAAAAGAAAACTGGAAAATCACTAATACGAATCATTAAAGTTAAAGTCCAAGATGGAGACATGATTACTGAAACGCTTACAAAGCCTCATTAAAAACTTGTTTCTAAATATAGCTTTTATACTACTACGACCAATATAAAAGGACGACATGGGTCGACCTATCTCACATGGACAAGGGAGAGTCATCATAGCACTTCATTTTCGTCGTTTGTAACACGAGAGTTTCTTATTATCTTGATCCAACCATCTATGACACACATAACGATTACCAGGTGGGAAATGGCTTACCATATTATGTTGGAAGCCAATGGCAGTAGGGTCATGGGCTGGAGGATGTATTAACAAATCTGTTTCATTCAACTATCCCATTTCTGAAAAAAAAGGACCTTAGTTGTAGAAATACAAACTTTCAGTCTGGCATAAATTTAGCATCAGATGTCATAAAGGAAGATCTTTTGTCGAGGCTGGAAAACAACGAGCAAAATGGCTAAAAATGTCGAGAATTTTATGGCTTAATATTAAAAAAAAGATACCTAAAGGTCCTGTGTTCAGAAGCACTAAAACCAAAAGGCAAAAAATATCGACTCCAGACTTTTTGACAAATAATCATGACCCTCGTTCCATTAGTGTACAAAGTCTGAAATTAATCTTTATTTCTCCCTCTCCTACACAGACTATGATTGAGAAGGGTCAGTAGACCGAATATTATACCTTAGTTTCAATGCCTGACAGAGGACCCATTGAATGTTAAATATCAGGTTCATTAGATGAATACTTTGATCGGGCACAACCATATCTTTATGTAAAAGTAAAGATTGTAAAACCAGATGGAACTGGAATAAAAAAGTAGAAGGTATCTTTTCTCCTGTCAATTTCAGTCTGTGTCTTCACTCTCTATTCTATCAAGTGGATGTACACCTGAACGACAAGCTCATTTCTTGGTCTCACAACCTTTACGTGTATAAGGCTTACATAGAGTCACACAAAACATTTTACCCAAAACACTTTAAATATTGCAATCATCTCTACTAATTACTGATGAGATTTCCTATGTATTTCACTTGGAACAAGAGTTATTTTTACCCAGTCAGTGTGGTCAGTTCTTCATATTGAATTGTGACAGAAAAAATACACCTATTACTATTCATGAGCAGTTTCATGTTTTTTCCTATTACTATTCATGAGCAGTTTCAAAAAACATAAAACTGCTCATGAATAGTAATAGGAAAAAATATGAAACTGCTCATGAATAGTAATAGGAAAAAATATGAAACTGCTCATGAATAGTAATAGGAAAAAGTATGAAACTGCTCATGAATAGTAATTGGAAAAACGTGAAACTGCTCATTAATTGTAACAGGAAAAAACATGGAACTGTTCAGTATGATGCAATATGTGGATCCCACCGATAAAGAGGTCTATAAGCACAAATTGGTGAATTAAGGATTAAAAACATATAGATATTTTCTTCACATTGGTGAGTTTCGTAATTATTACTAAGCATTCTTGTACAAATGTTTCGTCGCTACTTACAAAAGTGTGTAACTAAAATACATACAAGATATTAAGGAGGTGTTTGAAGAAATATACAAACAGCAGTTATCTTTTGCTTCAAGGCAATAAAAAAAATATTATGCCACAATGAAGAAAAATACACATTAATCAAAAATCATCATGTTTATTTGATTCAGAAAGTGCAAAAAAGGGGGAGAAAATGGCCATACCTGCTTTGAAAATTCTGCTTCAAAACATGACTGCAATTTTTCTAAAGAAGCCTTCATACTGTCTTCGTGTTCATTACTAAACTAAAGATAATGACAAGAAACTTGTCCCTACTGCCATGAGTTTCAGTTTAGTTTTTTAATTGTTGTTATAATACATGTTGTTCTGGAATACTTTTACTGTGGCGTTTCGCTAAGCAAAGAGGTAGGAACTTATAATTTTACTGTGTCGTTTCCCTAAGCAGACAGTTAGAAACTTATATTTTTACTATGGCGTTTCACTAAGTAGGCAGTAAGAATTTATAATTTTACTGTGGTGTTTCCCTAACAGACAGTTGGGAACTTAAAATAAGGTGCTGTGTCTGTATTCTGTATTTCAGATTCCGTGTACACTGAGCGATATATGCAGTCTCCTTCTCCTGATCAGAACTTCTTGGCTTACGAAAAGTCAAGCTTAGTGAAAAAAGCAGCTAATCTCAAAGGAAAGAAATTCCTGCTAATACATGGTTCGAACGATGGTAAGTAGTTAAAATAATCTAACTGGAATTGTATGTTCCTAGTCTGTGTGCTTTAATAACTTTGACGTTTCTGCCAATGGCCTCTTCCAGGTTCATAAGTACATGTAAAAGTATCAACTATTATTAGACAGACAATGTGATGTTCACATAGATGTGTTTTAAATTATTAAGTAAAAGTAAACATCACAAACTTAGAACAAAGTAAATAATTAAAATTCACATGACAGTGTCTCTTGAGATTAACTCAGAAAAAAAAAAAAAGAGTCACATTGTGAGTCATACTTGCTGGTGTAGCAACTTGTGTTTCATCTGGAAGAAAACATTGAACTTTATGATACTTTATTAAGTGTATTTATGTTGACTGATAGTGAGTGAGTTGTTGCTGTTTATGTAACATGTAAAAATGATCAATCACTGTTCAAAGTTTGGAGCAAAAACAGCACGTAAGAATGATAAATTATTGTAAGTGTTCAAAGTTTGGAGCATAAATAGTATGCATGAAAGGCAACTGTTCAAAGTTTGGAATATAAGTATCATGTAAGTAAGAATTATCTGTCATTGTTACTGTTCAAATTTGAGTATAAAGTCTACTGTCATGTTAAGTTCTTAAGATGCTCGAAATCTTTGAAATTTACGTAAAGTTTGAGAGTTTTAACGCCTATTAAGCCATTGTAAAAGTTTTAGTGGAATGCAATGGGCGGCAACTGCCTGTTATAGATAAAACACAAGTGTAAAGGATGACGTTTGTTTCTTTGTATATTGAATGCCCCCGGTGGTATCTCAGCGATAAGTTCAATGGCTTACATTGCATGAATTCGGGGTTTGATCCCTGGAATGTGTACAGTGCAAAAAAAAGTAACTAAGTTGTTATCTGGGGTTAATTTCATACAGCGTTAATTTTAATGAGTTAATGTCTAATTTATTGCTCGAAAACATAAAAAATAATATTCAAAAGTCGATTATTTTATCACCATCATAGTAAATGTTTTACAGAAAGCTTGTGATTAATTAGAAAAAATATTTCTTAGACAAGGTTCACCTTCAACAATCCATGATTTTGATTAAAGCACTGACTGACGCAGAAGTTCTTTTTCAAACTCAAGTAAGTCAAATTCTATTATGAAAACCAAGGGTTCCGTTCAATTATATTTAAAATATTTTTTCGATAACTTTTTGATAACTTTGAAATATAAGAAACTTTTAGTGAATAAAAACGTTGTCACAAAATTATATTTACTGGCTCAGTATTAGCTAGATATGCCTACTGCATTTTCTATCCCTTATATTACAAGTATGAAATAAATAAATAAATATTTAGAGGAGTACTATTCTATAAATCAAAATCAGTAAAAGCAGTTAAAATGGAACGTAATGATGGCGACGTTTCTTTAGAGTTAAACGTCGTTTTTACTTTTAGTATGTATTTCTTCACTTCATCTAGTTTTAACTGATTCTAAAATAAAAAAGACGATGGGTTAATTTCTATAAGGTCCGGCACGGCCAGGTGGTTAGGGCGCTCGACTCGTAATCTGAGGGTCGTGGGTTCAAATCCCCGTCCCACCAAACATGCTCTCCCTTTCAGCCGTGGGACATTATAATGTGACGGTCAATCTCACTATACGTTGGTAAAATAATAGCCCAAGAGTTGGCGGTGGGTGCCTTCCCTTTAGTCTTACACTGCTAAATTAGATAGCCCTCGTGTAGTTTTGCGCGAAAATCAAAAACAAAACAATCATTTCTATAAAAAAATTCATACATAGGCGTAATTATACTTTATTCAAACTATTAGTGGATAATGTTCTGTTAAAACAATTATCATCTCAAAATAAAGTTATGGAAATTTCTGTCATACTCGAGAGCTGCAACTAAAGATGTTAGGTTGATATATTTTCAAGTTCAAAATCACATCATTCTAGGAACAAATGTTTGTTTCAGGAATAAAAATGTTTATATTAATATGGAGTATAACTGGAGTATGTTATCGAATATAATGTTACAATATGGTCTGTATTATATTAGTCTGTAAAACTTTTTTTTTATGAGTCATTTGTAAGTGGTCAGATTTATCACATTAATCTATCACTTAACTTAAAGTTACTGTTGCCTCCTACTTTCAGGTCATTTAAGGTCAACTGCTTTTAGTTTTGTGAAATCTTGTATATTTCCACTTTAAGGTCACTAATTATAAAAATGTACCTTTCTAATTACCTACAAACACTATAATTTAAACAGTATTGGGATAAGCGTGGCCTAGTTGTTAGCATGCCGAGCTGACTGGTTGCCTTCTCTCCGGTCAGTATTTCTAAATTAGAGGTAACTATGTTTTAACTAGAAGCCTATGACCATGTCGTTCGTAATATGTGTCGCGTAAGATGCCTTTCAGGTTCAAAATTATAATTACGAATAACAATACTAAATATTTCGTGTCCATTTCGGTTAGGGCGTGGGTTGGCCATGGTTAGAACTCTGGAATTTAGAGCTGTTGATACCTCAAAACATTCCCCTCTCTTTAAGTAGTGACATTTAACCCCTTAGGTTGGATAATGAACGGTAAGGTGCTGTTGACTGGCTGCTTTCCCTCTGTTCAGGAATTCAAAATTAGTGACAGCTGTATATAGCCTTGGCAGCTTTGCCATAAATAGAAATACTATTTCGGCCAAAAAAGTTTGGTAAAATATAATTTCGTTGCAAATGTCAATACTTCTGTTCCAGTAAAGAAGTAGATACTCCTGACGTCAAGTTTTTATCCTTTTTTGTTTTTTCATACTAAAGTATCTATTAAGTCGAGAAATTTTGATTCTTGTATTCCATTTACAGACAATCATTATATTATTATAAACTTGTTAATTTTCGTTTCTTGCAGATTTATCCAGACGAAAACCACAACTTAGCCAATGTCCCCTTGCATTTTTACCAGACTATGGAAGCTTTCTTTGATCAGTGTTTCAATATTCCTCGCAAAGGTGGCATAGGACTCCAAAAAACGAGCAAAAAAGTTTTTATAGGAGGAAGATAGTGCCAGTTTAAAGTTATGTTTTCCTTATCCTCTACTTTCACTATTTCCTGATCCTTTTGTTCACTTTTTATTTTTGTTTCACTTCGGAGAAGCTGGTTTAAAAGTTTCGTTGAAACGTACTGTTTATCTCCAGCTTTGGCACTGATAAAACGATTCTTTTTGTTATATTCACAGTTGGTAAATAGCTTCAAACACTTACTACTAGAGGGCGCTAAGCTGCTTATGTGCCAAATAGCGTATCAGGGAAATACAAGTTTCTAATTTTTAACACCAGATTTAAAGACTTTTAGCTATTGTTACAATGCCAGAGATTAAAAAAAGAGGGTTCAAGATCTTAACTGTTTCCAGGGTTTCCTATTCTGTAAGAAAATTGTAGCAAGTGGAGATCTCTAAAGAGATATAATATCCCTGATATAGGTTTACTATAATTACTCTAGACAATCGAAATTAACGAATTCCTTAAAATAACGTATCTGATCATAATAACTCTATTTTGTCACACCCTTTCATGACGTAAAAAATAGATATTAATAAGTATTCATATACGGAACAAGTGTTAAAATTAAATACAACAAAAATTATTTTGAATTATGTTTCAAAAAAAAAAAATTAGTAGTGCCACGATATATATTTTAGTCGTCTACCAATGATATAAATGTATATGCTGTATTTGAGTAGAAATTGTTAATATTTATTATCATAATATGCATTTAAATTCGTTTTCCAGAGCTTACAATTTTAAATGAAAGGGTAAATTAAATCACGGAGTTCGAGTAATTGGTCTTACGACTGCGATTTTCTACTTTTCATCCCATTTATTTTCCAGCTATTATGGGTATAAGTTAGAACTAAAAAACTGTAGGTTTTTAGAACCAACAGCTTGCGTATTAAAACATGAAAAACTGTTCAGTAAACGGAAGTGTCAGTGTTGATTAACAGTTTCGAGAAATAAATTTCCTGAGCAAACCAGGAATCGGAAGTGTGCAATCATTTTAAATTGTCCTCGTCTTTCGTTTAGTCGGTATGTTATTTATTATTCGAAAATATTTTGATGAGATTTGAGGCAACCTATCGAGTGAGAAATATACACTTGGCCGCATTAATGAATAAATAGTATGTTTAGCAACAAACTTCTTAATAGTAATTAGGCCTAACTGTTTAATTTTAGACTTATCATATTTAATTTACTACTTTGCAGAGAGCACATAACAAATTTATAATATTTTGATTATAATTTTCAATAAAGTTAATATTATTTTGCAACGGTCTCTAAGCAATTGGGCCAGAAATTGCTTAATGGTAAGCTTGCCGCACTACGAATCTGAAGATTCGTGGTTCTCGTCCCGTTGCTACAAAGTCTTGTTTCATATTTGGAACCCTGACTGTGTTATAAGAATAACGGTCAAATCTCACTATTCGATTAGAGTAGGCCAAGAGTTGGCAATGGGTGTTTTGATTAACTGCCTTCCCTCTAGTCTATCAGTTTGAAACTAGGGACGGCTACTCCAAATAGCCCTTATATAGCTTTACGAGAATATCCGAAACAAAAGAAATCCAAGCAATCGCCTCGTCAGTGTGTAGTTGAATTAAAATTTCAATTAAAATTATTTTTTCTAATGTAAAGTTTTGTATTTTAAGTAAACAATCTTTTATAATCATATCACTGATTGGTTACTCCTAGATATCATGAAATTAACTAATAGGAGACTAATCGAAACTCGACAACAATAAATATGTTTACACAGTTGAGCTGGACATTTTTGACTCACTTCCTAGTTGAAGAAATTTCCCTCAAAAATTAGACTATATTTAATCAGTTGATTCTATGAGAGCTAGTTTCATATTTCTTTCATCTCCGTTTTCTAAACAAACAACAATCTTATTTTTATTACCTATTAATTCTAGTGTTTCTTCTGTTGCTCTTATATATCTAACGAAAACACAAGCACACAGCTTACTAGCCCACCAGCCCAATAAACTTTGGAATTTCAACTAGTTTAGTTTAATAAATATTTTTATGCCTGGCAAAATACTTTCATTATTTCAGAACCTGACGTCTATTTAAAGTATTTTCATTTATATTGAACAACGTAATGCTTTTTTTAACTTATTTAACTTAACATACAATCCAACTGCTTGTTTTAAAGTTCCAACTTCCGATATGATTTGTTTTACAGCAGGCCTACTCTATTTACTACATCTTGAAGTATCTCAAATGGTTTTACCATTCACTTTGCATCGTATGAGAATGAACGCCCTCATAATATGAATTGTGGTTTATGAGCAGTAGAGCTTGGATGTCCAAGCTCCTCTATATAAATATGTTTGTGTCAAATATGTCTATCAATACGTAAGGTGCTTTGAATCTGGATTATTTTACATTCGGTGTCGTATTTACTTTTTTGCATTAGGTCTCTTTCATTATAACTATTTGCATTATCTACAAAGCATCCTATTAATATTTCATATACACAACTATATGAAAGCAGTTTATGTTTCAATAAGAACTGTTTAATGTTTCCATAAATAACACAGACTGATAACTAGTTTAAAAAAACTGTAGTCTCACAATCAGCACTTCATAACCATGATAGCGCTTAAATAATTTCTTTCAGCGAAAATAATAATAATATTGCCTTCAGTGACATTTGTTTTCTTTATAGTGGTAAATTTAATTATAATTAACACTGATTATCCATACTTAATTGCAGATATCATAATGGTGAATAAGTTAGAACGTTTACCTATAAAAGAGGATTGTTAGTATTCTTCACGTAGGAAAATTTGGTTAGTGTGTAATTATTCCTATATTAGCAAGTTCAGTATATTTTGTCTCAAAGCTAATTATTTAGATAGGAAGAATTGGAGGTATTATAAGATTATCTCATTTCATGAAACATAGCTTGACGTATCCTAGACAACTATGTACCCCACAACATTTTAAATAATACAAGTTTAAAAGTTGTTTAGCTAGATGAAAAAATTTCAAAATATTTTATAACACGCTTATTCATTGCCAGTTCATGATAACATGTTATTTGACAGGGAGACGAAGGATCTCTAGTACTACAGAAACCCATATTTTACTTGATATTAAAGTAATAGATTTAATAGGTATGTTTTATGTGACATCAACTTTACATGTTTTCAAAAATATATTTTATCTAATGCTCACTTCAATAGCCTTAAAAAGGCAAACTTCAAACTTTATAAAATTACGTTAATGTGTTGAGCTGAAATCTGATATAAATATCTAGTTCACTGAAAAACGTGTGTGTGAGTGGTTTTAACTGAAGTTAAAAATAGATTCCAAAATGTGAATTTTTTCCTGGAAGTGATTCCCATAATGAACACCTGTTAAGTGTTAAATATCAGGTTGATACTTCTCCAGCTATTCAGTCTAATGATTACAATTAAGTGAAATATCATATCGATATTGTGATTGCCTAAACTAAGTCACTTAAGTTTTAAATGGAAATAATATGTTATTTATACTATAGTATTGTGGTTTATTTCAATTGCTTCTTAGACTTCTAACAATAACAAAACAGACCAACTTAGTCTGGCTGTTCTTCTTTCTTGTTTCTATGAATGCTTAAAGTTTCGTTATAAAAATTGTGTTTAGATTATGATTGGTTAAAAAGATATAGTAGTTAATATGTTTCCAGAACTTCAGCCAATCATTTGGTTTAAATAACTACTGTATGACTATCACAAATTTGTTTCCATTTATATGTGTATGTCTGTCTGTGTATGTATGTATATATATATATTCTAGTAGCACTTAAAATACGTTTACTATGGAAAACGTTGTTGAATCAACATTTTTTTTAAAACATTATTTGGGTAATCAGTGATAAAAAGAAATATGAATATTTATTACCTATATTATTCATTAAACAGAGCTAAGCCTAAGAATAATTAATGAAAACATATTAAAATTATAAATTAGTTTTATAAAACTAAAGTTATCACAAATAGATGAGTCTACAATAAATATAAATAAGCTAACTAAAAAACGTAGTTTGGATTATGTATCGGATGAAGTTCAATTAATGAACTGGTTAAAAACAAATATATATTATTTCATTAGTTTATAAACAGCTTATACTGTAGTTATACGAAAACCAGATTAATAAAACTATATCACAAAGTGTATATCAGTAGAAAACTATATATATTATGTATAAGCTGATGTTTTCAATAAATTTATATGACAATTTACGATTTTTCATGTTTTACTTACTTTTTATGCCAAGATATGAGCATTTTGCATTTATGAATTTAACCTTAATAGCCTGTATAAGTGTAGAATGAACTTACAATTCAAAACTTTGTAAAAGTGTTGCTAATCTTTATTTAATTATTAAATCACGATTAACATCACAGCATCATATGGTTCTCATTCTCAACTTGGATGTAGGCCTATATTGTCAAAACGTCATTTATACGAAATTTTAAAGCCTAACACTCCACTCTAGCAGTGAACTTGTAATTAATGGTTTTATTGAGTGTATAAATACGTAATTTCACAAAACAAATAGTTGTATATAGTCTTGGCGCAATAACAAAGTTTGCAAATGTACATATAATCATATGGTTTAATTAAGAGAATAAGGAATAGCTCAATATATATATATGGTTAAACACATAAAATCACTAAGTATAAACATAAGTGGATTGAATGGAACAGGAAATAAATCATAATAATATCTTGATATTACACTCAACTACGACAAACACCACATAATACTTCAGATATTTTATTAATTCTAGGCCGAAGACTCTATTCAGAGTAGCCCCAAAGCTATACAACTTAGAACACTGAGGTGACGATTTACTGTTTTGGAATAATAATTCTGGAATATTCATATAAACGGATTTAAAGTAATTAAAGCTATAATAACAGCGTTTGTGCTGTGTCGATTAATGCATTTACCATAATAATAGTGGAATATTAATACAAAAAGATTCGAAGTAATTAAATTTATAAGAAAAAAGTTTGTGCTGTGTCCATTAACTGATTTGATATAACAATACTGGGATATTAACATAGTAATTTCAAGTAATTAAAGTGGTGAGAACAGCTTTTGTGTTGTGAAGGTTAATTGATTTAGCAATACAATACTGGGACACTAATATAAACAAATTCCAAGTAACTTAAGCTGAAAAACGGATTTTTGCTGCATTTACTAACGTTCGGTAATCGTAACTGTGATACCTTCGGTTATCTTATGGGTTATTTCTCTTAGATATTATGCTCTAGCTGAAACATTACTTACCTTTAGGGTTATGTGATCTATAATTTGTCTTCAATTAATAGGAATATATATATATATATATATATATTTGCAATGTTGTTCTATCGTTGAGTGGGTTTTCATTTAATTATTTATTAATAATAATAATGCAAAGTCCGATTCATGTAATGCTAATGAATTTAACTTACTTCTTCGATAACGTTGGCTACAGGCTACATTCCCTAGTAGGCCTAACTTTACAAACAGCACTACAGCCACAATTCCAAGACTAATGATACACCTAACTTACTTATAAATTTACTTGTAGACGGACTAACTTGCTAAATCGTAACTGACGACCAGATGTAAAACTCAGTAAATGATACTGAACAAAAATTTTATCTTTCAGGGTCTGGAATGGTCTGATGGCTCAAAGTGATCAAACATCTTTTTTATGTTATCAAAAATATACCTAAAAGTAATATATATGACTCTATGTTTTCTTATCTATGGAAACCTTCACACGTTGAAAATTCACAAGCTACATAAATAAACTTAAACCTTTCATATAATATTCTTTTACAGCGTTTTATTATCATAATTTTTCAAATGATAGGAAATGTATTACAGTTTGACTTTTTACAACAACACCTTAAACGATCATCATGTACAATAATTTGTTTGTTATCACAAAAAGATGATATATACAAATATATGTTTGTGTGTGTGGTATGCAGTCATGCCATACGTTCTCTAACTTCTAATTTTAATGTAGAAATTTTAAACATTTTCCATTTATTCAGAATCTATGTACTTTTCGCATAACACGTGGTCAAGAAATTCGTTAAGTTCATTCTGTTTTAGCTGTCTCTCTTTGTTCCTTTGTTGTTCCCTAGAGATAATTAGCACATCGCTAACACAAATATTCAACAATAAAGTATCTTAACAGCAGACATCCCAATGTTAAATTCACTGTTGAACATCAACATAACCACCTATGAGCTTCCATTCTAAGACCTCTTAACTTATGATAAAGATGGGAGTTTTGAATGGAATGTGAAATTTTCCCTAAGAAGGCTTTAACTGCTTTTTATTTGAACTTTGATAGTTCCATATTGTTGTCTTTTAAGAAAAACCTGGTTAAAATATTAGTCCGTTGGGCATATAAGGTAGCTAGTAAACACGATTTTTTTTTACAAAGCAAGACATAATATTATTATTAAGAAATTCTTATATAAAAAACGCCATTTCAATGGCCATTGTAAATCAAGTAATTCAAAACTGTTTAATTAAATTAAACAATAAGAGTCACTCTACACTGAACTGCAGTTAAACAACAAAAATTATTTAGTCTTCCCATATAAAGGAAAACAGGCTATTCTGATGAGAAACCAGTTACTCAACCTATGTTATATAGCATATCCTCAAGTGAAATTGAGATGAGTTTAAGCCTGTATGCAGATTAGAGTATCTTTTTAGATATAAGGATCAAATACCTATATTCAAAACTCCTAGTATGGTAAATGAATATAAATGCCCTACATTTCTTTTGGTGGAGTAAAAATTATTGTTTTTGATTTTAAGCAAGTTGGTTGACAGAAAGGCATCTCGAGGAAAGAAAGTCAGTTAAATTATCCAATTTGCTAGTCCAGTGAAAAGCAACCATCCAATGTCCAACGCAAGTATCCACTTTGTCTTTGTCTTAGTGATAAATAACGACAGTTTTCATTATATATTACAAACTGCAACAAGTCTATTTATTTCCTAGCTTAAAATCAGTCATTGTAGTTAAGTTCATTATTAGTTCGGGGTCTATCCTGAGGCTACAGAAATGATTTAAACGTTGTTCACAGTTTCATCTCAAGTATTATATATATTTCAACTATAAATGTAATGAGTTGTAATCATGCAATGTGTAGTCCTACTTTGTTTTCATGCAGCTATTAAGCTCCATATAAAGTAAATGAAACTGTACATTGAACCTTATCATGTAACTGAGTTCTATTCTTCTATGTATTGTTTAAGTACACGTGATACACTACATTCCTTTTACGATGTCCTTTATATAAAGTGGAAATGTCGAAGGGCATCTTATGGTGTTACAATAAGTCAATAATTTGATGCTAACAAAAACTCATAAACGTATTTCTGATGTTTAATGACTGAAAAAGGACTGATAAAAATAACAGTTCACTAACTTAATCTAGCTTAGGCCGAAACAGTTGTTAAAGTAACTAATTATATAGATAACTTATCCATCATTCTATGTCTGTCGTATCCTAGCCGTCCCTAGGAACCCTGGCAATAAGCTTTGTGGATACTGAATGTAACAGGTATAATGTAGC